TTTGAGTGCACATTAACATTCCTACTGTGTCGTAGCCCGTAGGACATTTCTGTATCTATATTACTATATTAGTAAGAAGTTCTGTTCAATCAATCTCACAGGGTACTGATGGAAGAAGAATTATTGAGAATAGAGCACTTCTTTCAGAAGAATTATTGAGAATAGAGCACTTCTTTACGGCACAGAAGTCATTAGCGTACCATAACAATTATATCGAGTGTTTTGATGAAGAGAAATTTAAGAGCAAGTTTTCTCTAAACATAAATTTTTTTACTTACAATTAGTAACATTTTGTATATGAAATCCAATAGGACGCTGAGCCCACAAATTATGAATCAATATGAAAATTGAGATACAATCAATCAATCGAGCCTTATCACTTAAATAATCCATAGCAAGTGAAACGAGTTTGTGGACTATTTTTTTCTCAAAACGAAAAAAGCGCAACAAACCTCACACGATAAAAACGCTATAATATGGAGAAGAATCAAAACATTTGCCATCAAGCTATTGAAATTAATTTTATGTTAATGTTCAAATACGTGAAATACTCATGGATATGCTGCATGTTTAGTATTTTAATATAATTCGAAAAATTACTTTTTTAAAGAAATTTTTCATTTGTATTTCCTATCAAAAAGTATCACACGATGGTATGTTTCTTGTTGATTCTTCACTAACTTAGGATGTGTTTGATGGATATTATTGAGAAAAGAATGTATTTTAAATAGTGATATAATGTGATAAATGTGGTTAAAAATAAGGAAAAATTATTGATGTGATATAAAATATTATTTTATTAAAAAATATGTTGTTAAAAATGAATTTTAAAAAAACGTATTTTGAAAGAACGTGTACTAAACACGGTTTTAAGTGAACATTTAAATATTATTTGTTGAACCTTATTAATTTATTTATATGAAACATGTCCGGTGTCATTTCGAAGGTATTAGAACCATGCCATAGTTTTCAATGGAGGCGATCGTAGGCCCTAGCTACTTGATACCTATAATGTAGGTATTTTGATTATTTATGGTTGTCTTAAATATCTAGTCAATAATATTTTGATATTTTCATAAAATGAAATAAGTGTCCACCTTAAAAGCAAATTTATTTCAGTCCCTGGACTTAGATTCTACTTGTTAAAGTACAAAATTAGTTCACACTTTAAAAACATGGTACCATTTTTTTCGGTTTGAAATTGAATACGTCGTTTGACTTTATATTTAATTCAAACATAAATCCTTTATTTTTATATAAATCCATTAAATTTATCAAGTGAGCTGTGAAATTTTGAGACTGGTGCTTTCAAATGAATCAACATCATTTAAAGACATATTATCACTATAATCAATAAATAAATTTTTGAATTACTTGAAAATATCGATCTTTTATAGTCATGAAAATGCAGTAGCTATGCGGGTCCCAAGGGCCGAAAGGAAACTGTTTTAGCCCTTGTTTGAGCACCATTTAGAGGGGGGAAATTGTATTTTAGAATAATGATTTTAGGAGAATATGTGATGCAAGGGGATTCCAGCCAGACGAGGTCGAACTGTCTGATAGTTCGTTAATGGCGCTGAGATACCATGAATTGACTGATCAGCGCAAGAATGACAAGTAATCATCAATTTTTCCTAATTGGAACCGTTTCGATATTTTAGCCATAACTTTGGCTAGGTTATCAGAATCACGCCCATGACCCCAATTCGGAAAGCTCTTTCCGTCGCGCACGTCGTGGGCACCCAGCTATGTTCGGTGTGCATCGATTTCGAGGTCAAATATAGCTGTTTTCCCTTCTGAATTATCAATTTAAGTTATTTTTTGTCATTTTTAGTAATATTTCGATTTCCTTTTTGACATAAATTACGATATCAAATTTAGTCAAATTTTTGGGATCTTCTTCCTTTCATTACGTATTTCATTTTGGTATGAATAATAGAATTTTACTATTTTTGACAAAATTTCGATAATTAATATTTTCTAACTATTTAACCCGACTTGTGAGTTATTTTCGTTCAATTGTTGAATAATAAAGAATATTCTCTTGTTTCTCTCGCCAACTTTTAATTAATTTTTTTTTTATTTTTTTGAAGGGCTGTCAACGCAGACAGCCCTTGTTTAAAGTTTTTTTTTTTTTTTTT